TTTGACTCAACACATACATCATCTGGTGACACTGAATGACACTGCTCAATCACTAAGCAACCAAGAAATTATGTCAACAATGACTCAACTCTAAAATTGTGTTGAAAGTCAAACTGATGCACACAAAAAAAAGAAGAAAGCTCAAACGTATTGAAATATTCCATGAATATTTGGAAAACTGCTTGCCAAGATTGTGTTGACTTCAGGGCAATCAAGCAGAATGTAGACTTTTGTGTATGAAGCCACAACACATGGAGACATCACAAATATTAATAAATTGAAAGCTCAATTAATAAACTAATAATTACATGAGATCATTTTCAGATAAAACCATACTAAAAATATAATATTGCACAATCAATCAATTTTAAAATGTCCCACATAAAGTAAATACATTCAAGTTTTCCACATTCAGTTACACCATACAAGACTATTTCAATTACTGTTATCGATTCAAAGAACAAGAATTCAGTCTCGTGTTTTTATATTTGCTGTTAGTGCTGATGACAGACTGTAGTCTATTCTTACTCTTTAGGTTAAAGAGCCATTAGTTGTAAATGTTGACCACAGATTAGTATTGTCTTCACATTAAACGTGAAACACTCACAGAACTTTCCTGTCAAATTGTTGTGGTTTGTACAAATAAAGAGATTTGCATTGTCTGTTATGAGTTGTGTGTATGAAAAGGTTTGCATTGTCTGTCATGAATTGCACATTTAAAGAGGTTTGCATTGTCTGGTAATCTGGTAACCATAGTTTCAGCTTCATAGCAAATGAGTGCCCCATAGTTGCTCCACTCCTGTGCCAACTAAAAACGCACAGAATGTTTATGTGTAAAAAGAGGTTGGCATTGTCTGTCTTTAGTTGTGTGTGAAAAAAGAGGTTTGCATTTTCTATCATTTGTTGTGTGTATAAAAAGTTTTGCACTGTCATGAATTGTGTATAAATTTGTTCGCACTTTCTGTAATTTGTTGTGTGTATAAATTTGTTTGCATTGTCTGTCATGGGTTAAGTGCATAAACATGAATGGAAATATATGACACAGTCATGTTAATAAGATGTTCAAAATAGTAATGCTGATAAAAACATGCATACCAATGGAAACAAATATATGGACAATTTGTGGTCCTGTTCTTGGTGTGGCTAGGAGTGTTTCCCTGTTGACACATATACTACAGTGGTACAACATGCCGGCAAAGGAAAGTAAATTCAGTCTTCCTAAGAAAATCAAATTTTTTTTTTTTTTTAATGGCCATCTTAATTATTTTAAGATTTTGAAAACCAGATTCCTGACTGATATTTTCATGTTTTTTAATGCTGAACAGTCAGAGGAAAATCAAATTTTTAGAAAAATTAATGCACAATGACTTTCATTGTTCAGTTAATTAACAGTTTCAACTTACACAAAAAGTGGGTGGCCAGGATTTTGACCTCTCAGTGCCCAAGTCAGGTTTACATTTCATTGAGACCCATGCATTTTGTTAATGAGGTATATCATTATTAAAAACAACATAAGCTAACTGAAGATATTTATCTCAGGGACCTAACATCTCAGGCAAAACACCAGCAATGATAAATAATTGTCTGCTTTTTGTTTGCAGATGTTTAGTTTGACATTAGAATTTATGTTTTGATTACAACTGAAAATTTGGTGTTTGTTCCATGTGGAAAACTGAATCATCATCATGATGTGCCTTGCTTTGCAGTATAAATTCTAAATCACTTCCATTGATGTTATTTCTCAATTCCGCTACTTCAGGCCATCAAGCATTGTCATTTTCTTCATCTGCCCCCTGCCTTTCCTATTATTGATCTTTCCAGTCATCACGATGTTCTCCAATGCCTCTCTTCTCATCACATGCCAGAAGAACTCTGATTGCCTTTATCTGATAGTTGTATATAGTTTTCTAACTTCATTTTGCCGGGCATCTCCTGCTTTTACTGTTGTACCTCTTCCATCCATGTTTATAACTGTCCCCAAATATTTGAACTAGCTGACCTGATTAAGCACTTGGCCTTTTAATGTATTTTCACTTTGTTGGTGCTTGTTTCTTGATTTTTAGTAATGAGTGTTTCTGTCTTGAAAGTTAAGCAGAAAGTTGCTGCATATCTTGTGTGTTTTAGAAATGTTGCACCAAATTTGCAACTAATATTTCATGTCATGTTTCATTTTTTCTATAGCCTTCATATAACACTCATTTTTCAATAAATAGGTCAATGTGTACTTCCGTATTAACAAATCTGCATATCTGATCCTCCATTCAGTAAACATTGATTTAATGCAGTGGTTTTCACACTGTGGAGCCATGGTTGGTGGTCAGAGATGGTGTGGACTGCCAGTTCTGTAGAACTTTGCTGTCACCTAAAAACTGCTTACTCAAGCTATTGTGTTTTAAGAGTAAGATTTTCAAACGACACTGCATATATTATATCTTGAGCCAGTACTTTTCAGTTTTTCTAACTGAAGTCTTTCAAAAATTACATTTAATAATTATGCATGCAAAATGTCATTCTCCCCCCCCCCCCCCCCCCCCCCCCCCCAATAGGGGCATTGGCACCTTCATTTATGGTTTACATCTAGGCTGGGATTTTGCCCTATTCAGCACACCCTTAAATCTGACATTCTCTTAGTTCAGCAGTGGTTCTATTACTTTTCCCCATAAAATGGCGCCCTGGAACCCATTCAGCAAAACTGTCATTCTAAAGCTTATCTGATGAAAACAGGTCGGGCTAAATATCAAAAAATTCTCACATTAAAAACAAATTAAGTATTCCACAGGAGAACCATAGAAAGACTACAGTAATCAAAGAATCCGCTGACTCAGAAAGGTTGAAAACCATTGATATGAACTCTTTTAGTACAGACAGAATTTGTTTATTATTACTACACTGATGACATATTTTTTAACAAATGTCTGTCCCTTTCTTCTATTTACTCTGTCAAAATGTTTCTTACTTTTCCTACATCCATGATATAATATTTTAAATTGACAACTCTGATGGATTGTTACTCTAAAGCAACAACAAGCTCATGCTGAGGTCGTAACTGGCCAGTATGATTTAAGGAGATTGGTTGACAGATTTTTGCTTTCATTTTGTCCATTTTCCATGTAACACTAACTCCTTTTTTATACAAGCCAGTCTGCAAGCTTTGAAACACAAAATATTGCATTCATTTCTTTGGAAGAAGAAAGCATAACATGTGTAAATGTCCATGGATAGTTGTCAATTACATTTTGTAATTATTAGAATAAATCAAATGAAAATATGACAAATGCCCACTGAGTGAACACATAATACTGATGATTGCAGCTGATTGTCTCATAACTAAAACATGCACTTGTACACATGCACACACACACATGTACACAAACAGCATAATTTGTATAGACCAGGGGCAGCCATTTTGCATCATTCATTCTCTTATTGCAATGATTCATCATGCAACAGAAAAAGGAAGGTGTTCTTTAACTTCAATCAGGATGAATTATTACATAATCAAAGAACAACTTAAACAAAATACCAGAACAATGTATAACATTTGTTTTTAAAAAAATTACAGTAACATTTAAAATGTATGTAAAAGGCAAAAATCATACATAAATTTGTGTAAATAATGGGGTCTCCCTTTAACAGCTATATGTCCTGATCAAAACTGTAATAAAAGCAATGAGATATAATCATTTTTTTTTTCATAAAAATGAATTCATATTGAATATGCCGTAAAAGCAGTAAAGTAACTCAGGAGTACTCACATACCAGCACAAGAATACTACACACTGTTTATGTTATTCTGCACTGCTGTTTCATATTTATCAGTGTTTTTGTGTTCAGTGATTTGTTAACATAATTTCTAACATATTCAAATCAGAAAAGTCAGTAAATATGATTGATCTTTAAATTGGAACTGTCATGTAAGGTCAAAGACCAGATACTGGTATGTGCCTCTGTTAACAACTGTGTACTGTAAGAAAAACTGAAATTTAAATAAAAGAGATGAATTTTTTATTTTTTTGTTTGTTATTTTTTTGGTGTCACCAAACTGTTAAGACTACAGACTTCCACATGTTTATAGGCATATTGCTTAAGAACCATGTATGACAACCCTTAAATTGTATATATCTTTAGGTTGTTGATAGAATAAAAGGCTGAAAAAGTTGCTCTCTGCTTAATATTATTTAAAGCAATCGTGTTCGTTTGTGCCAGTGTCAACAGTCTTGTCTTTTTTTTTCATGATCTTTTCCAGATTTATTTACATTTCTCTACATGTTGTCCCAGTTAAGACATTCTTTCCTCTTTACATTTGTTTTTCCCTACCAGCTTCAAGTTAACTTACATTATGCTTTATATACATGCAAGTTTACATACTTAATTTAATTTAATTAGTAGGTACTTAAAGTAAAACAACCTTTTCAAGTCACTGGCACATCGGGCATATGATGCTACTTACATTTTTATAGATCAGGTGGGTGACAATGGGTTATGGGGTCAACATTATGCCTGCCACCTTTACTTTCCAGGACATTGCCTGCTACACATTTCAGGCTGGATGGATGGGATGGGAGCCAGGGTCATTAATTTTGACTCAATGTGGATTTGAACTTAAGACCTTTAGGATGGCAGTAAGCATCTAGCTGCTAAACTACTACGGGTCATTTTGTATTGGCTGACACATAAAATCAAGGACTAGAAAAAAGAAGGAAAATAAGCAAGGATTCAGGTCATTTTCAGTTTCCGTCAAATCTTGAGTTTACTGAATTTTTAAAATTTGATTTCTAATATTTTAACATCTGCATATATTAGGCGCACATTCAACATACAAAATTTGCTATCATCTGTTATATGATAAACCACTGTGTGAAATTATTATTCTGACTACAATTAACAAGTGACAACATAGAAGTTGCTGGTGTCAGCAGTAAGAAAAGTTATTTATCTTTGGTAAATTCTGGTGTTTGGGCAGGGTATTGATGACTCAACAAGCGAGCGACTGATAAGGTTCACCACTTGGCCATCTGTGTTTGGATTTGTGACACCAGGGTTTTAGCACAGAAGACAAAAAATGCCTGAAACAGAGAATATTCATTCATAATTTATTACTCTGTGTGTATCCTAGGTGGATATAATCTCGCTCTTATCCACACACACACACAAACAGATACATGAATATATATATGCGCATGCACACATGCACCCCCCCCCCCCCAGCCCCCGCCCGCTAAACTAAACCGACAGATGGGCATTTAATCATTTAATATTGTTATAAAATTCACAAACCATTGGCAGACATAAGAAGTGTATGAAGTGAACAAATGACATGCAGATACACTAAGCATATACAAAGCAGAAATAACAGAAAAATCTATACAATTGCTAAAGAAAAACAAAAAAACTAAGCCCACATGGGTTCTCCAGTGGGCAAGTTAGTAATGTCCAGGACAACCTAATGCGCGCCATCATCATGTAGCAAGTCCTTTGCAGAACATTGCTCTCATCATGGTCTGCCTGAAAGAAACTTGGTCTCTCGCCAGTTCTCCCGCCTCATGTACTTTCATACTCAAGGAGTCACTGATATCCTGTGCCCATCTTCGTGTTTGTCAGCCCCTGCACCTCCTTCCCGGTACCATGACTTCTGCTATTATTTTTTCCAATCGTTGTGGCGCTTGATATGACCATAATATTTCAGCTTGTATTCTCTACTGTCTGAAACCCGCTTGTGCTTCATGTAGCTCATTTTGTAATTTCCTTTCAATCTTCTTCATGATAATTCACAAGAGGATTTTGCAAGTGCCACTTTGCCAAAAAGGGCTGGCTTCAATAGAGCAAGCAATCTTACCTGAGGAATGAGAATCCCAACAACACTTCCGAAAACAGTCCATGTGTTATCTTTGATAATACTCTGCAGGCCTTTCAGGCAACCTTGAGTGTTGATAGCAGACTGGTTGAAATAAAATCACAGCAATCAAAATATAGACAAATTAATTAATGCGACACAAACAATACAATGTATTGTTTGCATCTGCATTATTTAAATTCAGTAGGGGAAAACATTGTTTTGAAAAATCAAATTAACAGTCAACTGCAGGTACAGTCATTATTTGTAAAATCCTTGAAACAAAAATATGATAAAGAAATCAAAGGCTCTCATTGATACCAATATCTTAAGATGGAAAACATGCTGAAGCATGCTGGCAATGAAACAACTAAAACCAAATGAGAAAAAAGTGACCGATCTAGATTTAATCTCAGCCAGTCTGTATGTGCTATGGTAAATCCTGAGCTAGTTACATCCTATGTTACGTTGTCATAATCTACATCACCATATACTAAGCATTCCCATATGTGTTTGTCAGTCAGTGCAGCAGCCACCTGAAGTTATCTTTACTGATTGTTCCCATAAAAACTTGGTTATAATGTCTCCCATCTCGACCTTGAAGACGACATAGATGGGCTTTAACTGACATTACTTCTACACTACGTAATCATGGTTACATTACATACCGTGTTTTAAAAAAACAATTTTAAAAAACGTGCACACATAGTTATCCTTTATAGTAATTTCATTAATTTAAGAAAAAGTCCACATGCCTAAAAGCTATAGATGACCCAGATAAATGTCATAATATGTTCCTTTCAGTAACTGTGCATTTTTGTTTTGTTTGTGTGAGCAGTATCTGTTTCTTTTCTTTCTTCCGAGTGACGTAATTCTATTGTGCCTGTTACCATTTGTATGTATTTCACATTTTGGTTTTTTCATGGTGATGAAAATGAAATTCGTAATCTTTTAGATGTTGCATAATATTTTCACTATATAAGGAAAGAGATCTAGAGACAATAAGCCATTCCCCTTGTATGATGTCCTGGTGGGGTACAACAAGAGAGAAAGAGAGACATTACACATCCCTGTCATTCACCTCTCTCGACTGGTTGGTACAGACCTACTTTATAGCAACCTGTTGTTTCCAGTACATGTTTTTTATCAGTCAAAGTTTTTGTTAATCAATTTGTAGATTTGTAAGCATTTTTATTAATAATGAATCTGAATCCACTGTGACAGAGATTTCATTGCTTCTGTTATGTTTTGTTGTTGTTTGTTCATGAACGTTTTGTTGGTCTCCCGGTCTTCTGCAAGTTTCAATCAATACCTTTGAGTATATTTCTTATGTTTCCAAAAATGAACACGTGTAAGATACAGACCAAACTTAATTACCAGGTTAGTTGTATTAGCTCTGAGAACACCCCTGCCACATTCTGTATTTCTATTAGCACCCTGCAGAAAAGAATTCAAAATAATGCACGTTACAAGTAATATAAGATTAAGATAAAATTGATCAAAAAAAGTTTATTAAAAAAAAATGACTGAGAAAAATACAATTTTTAATAATCCCCCTCCACCCCCAAAATCAAACTCCAAATTTTGAATATTTTAATTATAATATTACACTTTATAGGTTCAGTTTCATTAGCTTCTTGCAATAATTCCCATACACAAATCTTCAGTAAGCCAATTTCATGCTAAACTCATCAAGTACTTTTATCAGAAATATTCTCTTCCTTGTGTGGGTCCCAGGGCCCTATTTTGGGTAAACAAGAAGAGACCCACTGCCTCCCTAACAAGTGTTTGTTCAAGGTGACCAAATAGGGGAGCTTCCTTCAAAGGCAGAGTGCATCTGCCTAAAAGGCCAGGAACCAAGAGTCTGCATACAAATAAGCCAGATCTGTAAAATGGATGTACATGCAAAACTGTAAGTTCTGGAATAAGACCAAAGTCCAGAAATCGACCCATAACCAGAGCTATGCCATGCTATGATAAGAGAGACTATGATAAGAGAGGCTATGATAAGAGAGGCTATGTATAATACAGAGAGGCTATGGTAAGAGAGGCTATGATAAGAGAGGCTATGATACAGAGAGGCTATAATACAGAGAGGCTATAATACAGAGAGGCTATAATACAGAGAGGCTATAATACAGAGAGGCTATGGTAAGAGAGGCTATGGTAAGAGAGGCTATGGTAAGAGAGGCTATGGTAAGAGAGGCTATGGTAAGAGTGGCAATGATAAGAGAGGCTATGATACAGAGAGGCTATGATACAGAGAGGCTTTGATAAGAGAGTCTATGATACAAAGAGGCTATGATACAGAGAGGCGGCACTGTAAGGGGGGTAGTATAAGTGATTACAATTTGAACTTTTGACCTGACAGCATGAAGCTATTAGGGGCAGCTTTTGGAAGACTTGCATCATACTGACAAAATCTACCCAAAACTTTGCGCTGGTGTGTACAATCAGTGAACACTAAGAAGAAGACATATACTGTCCTGTTGAAAAGACGGGGTACCATACTGTCATGTTGAATGGACAGGGTACCATACTGTCCTGTTGAATGGACAGGGTACCATACTGTCCTGTTGAAAGGACAGGGTACCATACTGTCATGTTGAATGGACAGGGTACCATACTGTCATGTTGAATGGACAGGGTACCATACTGTCCTGTTGAAAAGACAGGGTACCATACTGTCATGTTGAATGGACAGGGTACCATACTGTCATGTTGAATGGACAGGGTACCATACTGTCATGTTGAATGGACAGGGTACCATACTGTCATGTTGAAAAGACAGGGTACCATACTGTCATGTTGAAAGGACAGGGTACCATACTGTCCTGTTGAATGGACAGAGGGTACCATACTGTCATGTTGAATGGACAGGGTACCATACTGTCCTGTTGAATGGACAGAGGGTACCATACTGTCATGTTGAATGGACAGGGTACCATACTGTCCTGTTGAATAGACAGGGTACCATAGTGACCTGTTGAATGGACAGGGTACCATACTGTCATGTTGAAAAGACAGGGTACCATACTGTCATGTTGAAAGGACAGGGTACCATACTGTCATGTTGAATGGACAGGGTACCATACTGACCTGTTGAAAGGACAGAGGGTACCATACTGTCATGTTGAAAGGACAGGGTACCATACTGTCATGTTGAATGGACAGGGTACCATACTGTCCTGTTGAATGGACAGAGGGTACCATACTGTCATGTTGAATGGACAGGGTACCATACTGTCCTGTTGAATGGACAGGGTACCATACTGTCATGTTGAATGGACAGGGTACCATACTGACCTGTTGAATGGACAGGGTACCATACTGTCCTGTTGAATGGACAGGGTACCATACTGTCATGTTGAATGGACAGGGTACCATACTGACCTGTTGAATGGACAGGGTACCATACTGTCCTGTTGAATGGACAGGGTACCATACTGTCCTGTTGAATGAACAGGGTACCATACTGACCTGTTGAATGGACAGGGTACCATACTGACCTGTTGAATGGACAGGGTACCATACTGTCCTGTTGAATGGACAGGGTACCATACTGACCTGTTGAATGGACAGGGTACCATACTGTCATGTTGAATGGACAGGGTACCATACTGTCCAGTTGAATGGACAGGGTACCATACTGTCCTGTTGAAAGGACAGGGTACCATACTGTCCTGTTGAAAAGACGGGGTACCATACTGTCATATTTAATTAATAAAATACTATTTTGTCTCAGTAAGTGGGTAGAGTTCTGGATTATGTCTTCTTCTTCTTTCGTTTGCATGAAATAAATTATCTATATCTGCAATGCTGTCTCTAGTATGAATTTCACTGTCTTTTGTAATTCACTGGATTATGTCTGTTGAAGGATAAAATACAATACTATCCCATAAGCTATTTATTTCTAGCCTCGTTTCAGTCTTGCTTAACCCTTGTCTCTTAAAAGCTCATGAATTAGCATTTCTGCAGTGACCTGGTCTTGAAAAGTGTAGTCAAACAGCCGTGGTTCTATCTGCACCAGTGCAACATTTACAAGACCTGAGTATGAATATAGTTACTAAACATAACATTTACAGGTTTTTAAAAATTCAGAACCAAACAGTTTTTTTTAAAGCCATTCTAACATAAAAATGTCCTGTAGATAGAGGTCACGGCTCCATTTAAGCCCCAGCTGAAGTAATTTTGTTTGTAATTGCAGAAACAGACATTGCTTATGCCAGATCTATGCTATATATTTATTACCAAGCTAGCTGCATCTAGTACCTCAAAATGATACATTTCATTGGCCATTGGACTAAATGGTGAAAGGACATTGTTGTACAAACCGGTCTTTGTACGCAGCATGAAGATGGTACACTGCAAGATTCTGGGTTGATGATTCCAGTGGTGCAGTTGAAGTACACATTCTTATTCCAGTCCAAGTATCCGTCATCACTGTTGGTTGCACCACAGCAGGACAACTGCATTAACAATGACATTAACAGAATTTTATTTCAGCAAATTAGTCTGCTAGTAGGATCAAACATCATCATCTTGTGCCCTGGTGATAAGTATAGGTGACTGTGTGTATCATCTCACACAGTCAACAGAATCAGGTCAGTGCTCTTGTCTTGCCTAATTCATATTGCCAAGCCATCCAGGGTAATTATCTCTTTCACTCTTCTAGCATCTCCCCCCCCCCCCACACCCACCCCCCCCCCCCACCCCACTAAATCAATATATTCCAGTTGTTACCAAATTCACAGTTCAATTCATTCTCGCAACATGTCCAAAAAGCACTGCCCATGGAATCAAACATATATACTACATAAGACAAAGTGATGAAGGCACAATAAATACTCAAAATATTTTATAGAGACTACAGAACACTGGTTCATGTTTATTGAAAAATAGATTGGGAAAAAAGTTATGGACCCTGAATTTGACTAAAAAATGCTTTTGCTTTCCATTTTTCTGCTATAGGCATAAATTATTGTTCCTGGATTATCCCAAAGATAAGCAAACTCTCGTTATCATGCATTTTTATAAGAAGAACACTCAGATAACATGAACTTGCTTAATAAGAACATTAAGTAAACATGAACTTGCTTAAGAAGGACACTCAGTTAACATGAACTTGCTTAAGAAAAACATTAGGTTAATATGAACTTGCTTAAAAAGAATATTCAGTTAACATGAACTTGCTTAAGAAGAACATTCAGCTAACATAAACTTGTTTAAGAAGAACATTCAGTTAACACAAACTTTCTTAAGAAGAACATTCAGTTAACATGAACTTGCTTAAGAAGAACATTCAGTTAACATGAACTTATTTAAGAAGAAAATTTAGTTTACATCAACTTGTTAAGAAGACATTCAGTTAACATGATTTTGTTTAAGAAGAACATCCAGTTAACGTGAATATATTTTTATATAGGAAAAAATAGGCTTGGACAGAGCTTGTTTGGGGGAGACACGTGTGTAGGACTTGGACTGGACGGTTGTGGGAATGTGATTGTAAATGTATCTTCTATTAGAAACGCTTAGCGTAGTTTGTATTAGTGACGATTAGCAAGAATAGTATTTGTGGTTAGGCTTTAGATATGTTGTGTTTCCATACAGTGTTCTGACAAGATTGTTCATCTGTGATGTTTCTTGCATAGTAGAAGTTTTCATGCAGAATATGTTAATGCAGAATCTGTTAAGCAGGCACTTAGATCACTCACCTTATGCGTACCACTGAGTCTCGCATGGCGAGAACGGCAGCTCAGTTAGCACTGTACGACAGTAAGGTGGAATCACGTCCTTGAGATATCCATGGGAGCGGCTCGGGTGGATTAGTGAATATAAAAGCTATCACCACCGGCATTTCGGATCAAGGAACGTCCATTCCGTTGAGGTTTGCTTTAGGTTGATTATGTTTGTACTCCGTAGGGGTGTGTTTAAAGTGTATTATAGGGTAGTTAAGTCTGTTAGCTGGTCTACCCAATAAGCCAGAGTAAGTAGATAATAAAGTAAGTCTCTGACAGATATAGAGTTGGTTTCTTGCCTCTGGCAGATACATTCTGATGTCTCGAACAAAACCCCCCCTAATTAGACACCTTGTAAGACATGCTTTTTAGGGAGACAGTGGGTCTATCCCCTCGAAACACACAAACCCCCCCCCATCCTCCTGAATGGAGGCCCAAAACCCACATGCCTTATAGTAGTGTTCAATATAATAGCATCTGATTATCTAATTTCTCTGTGTTTTATGTCTCTCTAGACTAATGTGTGTTTTGGGGGGTTTTTTTAAACATGTTAACAATATTTCTGGCCTTGATAGTTTCTTCTGGTTTCCTTTTTATTTCCCTTCAGCCATTGTCTGTTACCTGCCCAAGACAGGAGAAGACTGTCAAGCCAAAAATATTAAAGAACCTTCCACATTATCAACATTTTCTGGTGGCTCTCAGTTCCCAGAGGTATGAGTTGTCTATCTGCCCCCACGGGGAGATGAATGGAAAATCTCATTTACTTAACAAATCTGAGCGGCAAGCTTCAAACTGTTCCACAATTAAACATTTAATTTTTAATAGTTAAGTGAGACTTACAAGCTCCTGAATACCATCAATGAAATCTTTCATATCTGGGTCATCTCTGTAGAATTTGACTGCGTCCAACATGGCATTCTCTGGGTAGAGTCCAATTTTAGCGAAAGCACCATCATAGTAAGAAAACACAATCACAAAGGCCAGCAGCACCAGTTCCAGCAGTAGGAAAATGGACATCAAAATATAGTACTGTGGAGCAAATTGATTAAAAGGATAATTATTCTAAATTAAATTGTCATAATATTATGTTCAAACTGGCATTATTGACATAATCATAATAGTAAATTACTAAATATTTTCAAAGCAGCAGGAAAACCACAAAAATTAGAAGAAGAAAAAAAACTACAGAAACAATCCCATCATTTAGTTCACTGAGAAACAAAGACCACCTTGTGAGAATGAATCTGACGATACTAGCAACTAAAACATACAACATGAAAATGGAAACACCAAATGGCAGAGGGATACATAGAAGATGGACTGAAGGAGTGACAGCTTAAGGCTTTACAATATCGCAGCATACCAAGCAACTAAGTGTGACCCATCTGCACTATCAATCAACATCTAAACTTCAACACCCAAAGAAAATTAAGCAGACACAAAATGAAGATGAATGAGGAGCCAAGGAGACAAATGTCTTTTTATAGACAAAGAATAGGCCACATTTTATGAATAACAGAAGAAGCTGCAAACAAAAAAAAGCTGATGAAAGAAATAAAAACCAGAGAAAAATGTTTACGCCATACTAAAAAAAATCTTTCAGATGTTGAGAAGAGCTGGAAAAAAAACATGGGTTTAAACAATTGATTACATTATATTTCACAAACAAAAGAAATGTAGTTGAAAAATAAAAAAGTGCGATTCCTAATTTGAAACATGTCAGTTAAAATATCAGGAGGGATCTGAATGACACTGACAATCTTACATTTAGTGAAACTGCATTAGGGAACTACCAACAGGAAGTGCTGTATGGATCCAAAATCTGCTTCTGACAACAATGTTCTTCCGTTAATTTTGTTCAAAGGTCAAATGTACAGACTAGGGCTGTACCGAATAGTGATTTTCACTATTCGGCCAAATACGAATAGCTGGACCAAATATTCTTTGAATATGAATAGTAAATCATCATCGGGTGCTTTGCCGACTGGCATGGGCGATTATGCCTAGCCACAATCTGAGATCTCCTGCAGCATGTATTAGTTCGTGTGCTGACACACCTCAATGCCATGCAACAAGACTGTCAAGAATCTTCTCTCGTTGTCTTCCTCTATCCCTCCTTCCACATAGCTTTTCAGTGGTCACCACATGTTCCATTTTCCCTCATCTTATAACATGGTCGAAAAATTATGACTGTCTCCTATCTTTTTTGGTTGCTTTTTTTTTTGACTGTCTAATGTATTTTAAGCATTGTTCTGTAAAACCACATCTCTGAGGCCTGTCGTGAAATGATAGCCATTACGCATCGGTCTGTAAGGCTGATAACCTGTCTTACCTGTAATCTGCACAAAATTCAAACTTGGACTCGCCCAGAAATATATAGTCCCTTATATCTATATATATAGGCCTGTATTGGACAACATTATTATGTCCTGCCTTTTCTGGTTTACTTTAACTAAACTCCACTTTTAAATGTATATCTCCTGGAGATTATTTTATAGGGAGTTATTTGAGGTTTCTTGGAAACCGATTTACTCCTTGCCCCAGTATACAGGGAACTTCTTTTGTACCAACGCCTGAAGTGTCTAAGCGACGCTATTCTCCTTACCAGCTTCTCAAGCATCCAGATGTGTTAATCTGTGCCTGTATAACTTTCACTTTTCAAGCAATCTGGAAATGTCTCAGTTTTTACATATGCTTGGGTAAGTTAATTATAGTTTACGAGTACCTAGAATGATGTCTGTAAAGTAGTCACTGCTGTAGAGAAATTAGTATCGGCTGTGTGATCTCACTTAGTTTCGACCGTTCTTGATCGCTAGAAAGGCGGATTCGAA